TCATTTTTTTGTGTATGCAACACATGTAAGAATAAACACGTGTACGTACCGAGTATTGTACGTACACACGAATGTATAAAGGAAGGAAAAACATGTTTTTCCGGCCGGCTAAACCTTAAGCTTACTGGCGCACACGAGGCACGATTGCGTCACGTGGGTGGAATACATCGAGCTGCGCGATCGCGATACTCTTACCGTTTGAATTGTCGCGCGTGCTGTGACGCGACAACGCCATCCTCTATAGTACACACACACACACACACACACACACAGGCTCACTTAGTTTGGAATAATTTCGCGCCTGCTTGCGCGCGCAGCTAGCAGCTAGCTTTTTTTCGCAGCTCATCGTGTGCGTGTGTGCGCGCGATTTAACAAAGCTTTTTTGCGCTCGTTCGCGCTAGCGCATACGAAGCTGAAAATCAAAGCGAAGCGAAAAGAGTAATGACGGTCGGGTCAAAATGTTTGCAATGCACATGAGCTTTTATGTAAGTTTGTCGCGCGCGCGCGCGCTGCAGCGTACACACACATGCACACGACGTTGTACGTCTCTTTACTGTCGCGAGCGCGCGCAACGTTCAAGGTCGTTGCGATGTATGGCTCAGCATTGAAGCATGCGTATCGCGAGAGAGCTTGATTAATTTTTACTATTTTTTTTAGAACATTTCTGCCGTAGTTTCGAATATCGTGCACTCGATAAATCTTATATTATCATTTCTGTGAAAACGTATAACGCGCGCACGCTTATAATTGTAAAAAGAAGAAATTTCTGTCGAGTCGCGTCTTTGTCGTCTCGTGTAATATCGGCGTATGGGTATACGTATATTGCAAAAGACGCAATCCAAACTCGAGACGACGTCCGATAACGAGAAAGATTATTTCCAAGGACAAGGACGTTCGCAAGTAGCTACTTGTTTTTTCTCTCTCTCTCTCTCCCACTCACGAGCGCGCGCGATCGGTTGGTACTTAAGAATTATCGGCTTTAGATGATTTTTTTAACCCCAGTCTCGAGAAATTTTTTATCTTATTTACTTTGAAACTTGTAAATATATATTTTATTGTGCTTTTCGATGCAGGTCCAGTGATTCGTTTTCTGGCATTTTTTGATACCGACCAAATTGTTTTTTCTCCTCGATTATCTATTTTCATTTCTACCTCGTAGCAAAAGATCACCCGGATAAAAAGTATAAAAAATATAACATTTCGGTAAAATAAAAAAAGAATCGGATCGATCGGCGTGTGCGGCACGCACACACACTTTCACGAGCACGCGAGAATCTTCGCGCTCGACGCGATGACTGCGTGCGTTTCGTTAAGAACAAAAAGATAAATAATTATTATTGTCGTCAGCGATGAACTTGAACCGCTCGCGCGCCGATCACGAGCGCGCCAAAGGCAAAAGTATAATAATGAAATGCCTTGCGCGCGCGCGAGGCAGATAACTCGTGCGCCGCTCGCGAATCGTATGTACGTAGGTATGTGTAACATTTTCAGATTTGACTTTGGGTAAGCTCGACTTGCGTGTGTTGGTAAAATGTCGTGTATGCACCGAGCCGCCCGGCGTGACTTTGTCTTCGAGCTCGAGCTGCGCGGGTGTGTGTCAACGTTTGCGCGAGCTGCTCAGCTCTCTGAGCAAAAATTGTCATCGATTGTTGTGCCCAAAATCGCTCGTAGTGAGCTGTAAAAATGAAATAAAATGATGAAAAAACGTGGCGTCGAAATTTTGCCGAAGTTTTATAAATTTTTGGATCCTAAGCGATCCTTCCAAGGGCTCGACATGTTTAAGCGTGTGCGTTTGTGTGTATGTATATGAGCGCCTCGATTTGAGCTGGTAAGATCAAAGAATCGTTTACAATACTGCGAATAACGATTGTGAATCATCGATCGAATCTTCGAAACGAGAAGGTCATCATAATCATCGCATACACACATACACACTCACAATGTATATAAATCGCAACGACTCGAGTATCCGTGCGTGCGAGATATGCATACTCCGTTGAGAGATCAGACAAAAAGAGAACAAAAAGAGACACACGAGACGAGAAAGAAAGAGTGAGAGAGAAAGAGATAAAAAAACCGAGCACAGAAAGTAGCCGTCAACTTTCTAGATGCAGAATATGTATGTATAATATTCGGGCGGCTTCGGAGTCGAGGAGCGCGCGCGACGATGGGCGGAAGTCGCGCTGTTAGCCAGGCATGCCAAGGTTCCGAAAATTTCTCGCTCTAGCGTGTTATGAGGCGCGCGCGCGCGAATATGATTATTGGCACCGAAATACATGTATATCTGAGCGCCAAGCGGCGCAGATTTGAGCTACTAAGCGCACGTTACGTATTATACACAAAAAGGTGAGCCATCGAACGCGAGCAATATTGCTTCGTATCGTGCTTAGAGGCAAATTATATTATGCCAACGTATTTAACCTTCTTTTAACGGATGTGTACACATTGTTCTCGAAAATATTGGTAAATTATATGTATGGCGCGTACGTGTTATATTTTTGAACGTATTATATATAGATTATGCCGACGTTCTCATTTGAAACGAGCCCGGTATTTTTTCTCTCTCTCTCTCTGTTTTTCGTTGTTCATTCTGCTGCTACGTACATAATTTAATTAGCTCTTGGTTAGCTGTGCGTATCTCGGATGTACGTGAGCAGGCGAGCTTTGCTCGTATCACAACTTTACGACCTTGAACTCCTTGCCCTCTCTTCGATAAGTCTCAGGATCTATGTGGATAAGAATTACTACGCAAGTATCGGACCTCGTGGGAATGAGCCAATTGAAAATTAACGAGATAAAAGGCAATAAATACCTTCTCATTGGTGCACGCGCGCGCGTGGTTCAATACGGACTCATCATCTAGAGTCCTCTATATTATATTCGTTTCGCAATCTTTTTCACGATAATTTCTTCGCGACTTTTATCCTTCGATTTTTTTCGCACACAAAAAAAAAGAACGGATCGTTGAAAAAAAAATTCCAGCATAGACCGTATACCGGCCGAACTCGGACGCGCGCGGGTGACACCAACAGCGGCACGCTATTATGCATGTGTTATAACGCGTGAGTATGCATGACCTTGCGGCAGTTCTCGTAACCGTTGAAATAATAAAATATATATAATGCTTATATGGTTGTTGATATACTTCCAAGCGCGAGCTCGGCGAAAAAAAGGAACCGAGAAACGCGCGTTTATAAAGTGTAGAGCAGTGCGCGCGAGCGGCGCATATATAATATTACACATCATGCACGTGTATCGTAAAAACGCTTACGCTCACTGGTCGTCGTCGCGTCTCGAAACATGTCATATCTTTATGACAATGTTGCGAGCGTCATTTTTATTAATAGTTTTTCTTTTTGGCGCAATAATCAATCTCGGTGTTTAGTATCATGTCGAGGACCAGTTATAATTTGTAAAGCTCGTATGATGTGTGGTCTAAAATTCTCCAAAACTCGATATGCAGCAACGCGTTACAACGTATTTTTGGAAGTCGTAACTGGACAACGTGTTGCAAGATAAAATAATTTCTGACTATTATATGCAATTTGTTAACTTTTATATGCATACGAGATTCATTCATTATTTGTCATTTTTTAACACTTTTAATTGAGTACTCGATATACTTCGTGAATGATTCACTTAGTCTGCATACACGACCGATAATACTTTTCGTGCTATGCATCCTTATTGAGATTATAAGCATCAAATTTCTTTGTGGCCAGAGTAGTTGATGACGCGATGTTTTTAGTCAGCGGCGATTATCAAAAAGATCTCTCCACCGATTCATGTCTTCTATTTTGAAAATGTGTAATCCCAAGAAAACCCTATACTGACCAGATTCCGACCAGTTTACGGTGAAGTTTATGGGTAAAAATACTGGTATTGAATTTTCAGTTCCTGATCTTCTATATCACCCAAGTGGTCGATTTTCTACGAGGTAAATCACAATTTGGACTTGAATTTTGCAAAACGATTGACCTTTTTCAATCGCAGAATGTAAAGTTTATCAAAAGCCACGCAAGTCGCGTTTATAAAAAAATCGTTCATGAGCGATTCGAGATACTGCAGAGGTGACTCGAGTGTGACTGCAAGAATTTTTGCGTGACATCATCTTTCGTAATTCATGCGGAAAGAGTGAAGGTGCGCATGTGTGTGCATACGTTATGATATCGGTTTGTTTCAAAAAATGTTTCAATTCGTCGCTCACTGACCCTTGGATCATTTGGTTATCTTGCCAAATTATAATCCTCATCATGCTTTGTCATTTATCATCTGACTAATTTACCATTTATCGATTAAATTTAATTATTCATTAAGCTCTACAATTTTTCATATTTAGAAACATGGTATTTATAATAAAATTATATGATTTTAACATTTGATTTCAGAATTGATCTGATATAACAGTGTAACACATAAAAAAATCTCCACATATTAACCGATAAAATATTCCGATACAAGTAGAAAAAATTTAAATTAATTGACTTACTGATAGGTGAAGTCTAATGAACTATGGAACATGGCGGCCCCCAAAATGGCGGCGTAAACTTGAAAATATAGATATAAAATCGATAAATTTTTCCCCATTAGTAACATCAATTGAATTTTCACTTATAACAAATCGAATCGTAAAGATTAAAAAAAATCGGATTTCTATTAGATTAATTACATTGCCCCAACAATGTATTTTATTCACATCGGTAATTACAGAGCTACGCAAATTCATACACTCACTTTTTTCTTTTAATCGATATTATATTTACATTCTCTGCACTCGATCAGTCAATTTAAAATCACTGCTCATGGTCATTGAGATACATCGAGGACAAATGACAGTCTATTGATACTCGCAAGTACACACAAATACAAACGCACATTTGCTTTTACTCACCAACAGCTTCTAGGGGAGATTGCAGAAAAATAAAAGAAAGAGAGAGAAAAAAATTGTTATTTTTTTCACTGTTGGGTAAATTTACCTCGTGTATACATGCGCTCGGCGAGCGATAATATCCGCGTATGTGCTAATTTGCACTGGCGCATTGATAAGAGCTTTGATCACAGGCTGTCGACTCTCACTCTCTTTCTCATTCACTGCTGCTGGGGCACTTGTGTGCGTGTGCACGCGATACATCAAGCATCGCGAGATTACACTGAAAAAAATTTTTCATCTCAACACGTTCAGCAAATTAGTTAAAAACTTCACTTCACTTCAATCATGGTTGATACTTTTATTTATTTGGTTTTTTTTCTTAAAAACTAAGTCAACATACATCATTTATTAATATAAAACGTTTAAAATTATACGTATATATGTAAGCGATACAGTGTTTTCTTTCAACATGAAAATTAAAATCTTTAATGTTCCGAATACATTCGCCGTTTTTGACAAAATTAAAATTATACATTTAATTCATAGATCATGAGTGTGAGTGGTGCACTCTATCGATATGGATTTTGACATGTTTTTTTGTTTTATATTTTTTCCCGCATATATTGCATGGATAAATGATACCATTGTGAACAACATTCTTGTGATGTTTGATACTTGACATATGTTTGAATTCTTTCCTACATACATCACATGCATGGGTAATACCAGAGTGCACTGAATCGATGTGATTTTGAAGATAAGAATTTCTTTGGAATACTTGTTGGCATATTATGCATGTATGTCCAATACCGTAATGTACGGCATTGGCGTGATGTCTAACAGTATCTTTCCTTGAGAATGTACTTTGGCATATATCACATGTATATCTGATACCATTGTGCACCTCATTTATGTGATTTTGGAGATTTATTTTTTGCGCGAATTTCTTTCCGCAAGTACCACATAAATGTTTGGTGTGAATTTTACGTTTTTTTATTTTGTTAAACATTTTTACAATTCTTCTCTTTTTATTTGTCTGGCTGACTTCACAATCCGTAATCAAATTTATTTCTCTTTTCACTCTGCCCATAGTTTCTATTTTGACAATTTTTTGAGTCTTATTGTCATCTTGATTCTGGAAATGATCGTCAATTTTTTTAAATACTAATGAATTTGTCACGGGCTTGACGTCTTTGCATTCACATTCAATTTTAATCTGATCGAATTCAGCTTCCCGATTTTCGTTATACTCTTTACGCGTCTGTAAAGAAATATTTTTTTTACTGTTATTAATGTTTGCTATATCAATCGCATATAAATTGTTAGTTCTTACTGTGTATTCTTGAGGAATTCTAGATTGAACATTTTTAACATCAGGGCCCTTGCCAATTATACTGTAACCATTTTCAATAGGTGACATATCGATAGGTTCTTTTTTTATTCTGTGAATGATTTCCATTATATTAGGTATTATGTAGATATACTTTTATTATCTTATTTGCAGATTGAAAATTACCTAACAGCACAATTGAATAAGTTGCTCGACTTCATTTTTCTTACTCAGAATCTTGTTAAAGATTAATCTTCCAATTATGGTATCTATAACAAACTAATCAAATTCAATTGAATAACATTTCCAAATCATGATATGAAAATCGGAAGAAATGAATGTAAACATAGAAAAATCAGCAGAAACTGTCGTATATGATTGAGACAAAATCGGAAATTATGAAGAGAAGTGCTGACATGCTCGTGCTACCACACACACACACACACACACACACACACACACACACACACACACACACACACACACACACACACACACACATGCTAATAAACATCACGCATCTAAAAAGTTGAGCAGCTCGCGACTTATCACTGACGCACATTAATACGGCGAGCAGCTATGCATATCTTAGCACTGCTGGCAGTTGGTTTGGTAAAATTTTAAACTGACTTCTAAAAACTTTTGCCGACGCTAACGTCTGACTCGGGCGACATAATGTAGGTGCACTTAGTACTGCGCCTGTCTGTATTACTAGATTCTTACATGTAATCAAAGTAGGGTCATTGAAGGTTACGTTTGACACACAGTAATACGTGTTTTACCCTAAACGTCAAAATCTACGAGACAAAGAAAACGCAATTAAACAAAGTAAAAAGGCATGTCTATGGCCACGCGAGACGAAGGTTCGCATATTGCCAAAGCTTTTAGAACTCGAGTTACCACGCACTTGTATCAACTATAGTTGTATCCTGCACAAAGTAACAATCACAATCGATTTCGAGTTTGATACACTGCTCGACTGATGCTGGAACACTGGACAATCGCACATATACGACTAACAGGCTACATATACGATGAGCAGCTCGCGACTCGGCTGCTGTAACAGATATACACGTAATAACGCAAGTACGCACGATCGCCCAGTTGTTTACACGTAAGTTCAAGATTGGCCGTTACCGCGTGAATGCTGAAAATCCGACGTGCTGCTATTACTGCGATCTGACTTCGTTTAGTACAGTGAAATGTTCGTCCTAGCAGAATGGTAAAGTCTTGTTTTGAGTTTATATGTCTATTTTGAAGTGAAATTTTTATTTTAACCGCGAGAGGGCAGGTACTTCACGAGCTCGGTAGCCTGCTTGGTAGAACTTTTTAAAAGTGTGCACTTTATTGGTTAAAATAGATATAAAAACTTTAATGACTTACATACTTTGCTTCTTATTTATCTAGTAAAATTAAAAAAAATTAATTCCGAGTAACAATCATCTTCAACGACGTAGTATAATAAACTTGAGAAAGACTTCGTAATACTCTCGTATGGATTTGTCGTTGAATTTATTAATGTCCTTGAACCTCTATCTATCATGAGTAGAATAGAAGGACATACACAACATCGGGCGTTAACAACCGCATATATAATAATGTCAAAATATTAAACACACGTATAAACTTGCGGACAGCTCATCGCAGTGTAATGAGCGTCCGTAAACTCGCAAAAGACAAGGGAAGTAAAAAAAGGGAAGCTTCGCCGGAAGCTCAAATATCTTCGTATATATATGCAGCCCGCCACGATACGTATATATACGCCGAATTTGGAAGCCGTTGACCTCTTGATACCTTCGCTGTATGCATGCGTGTGAATGTGCGTTGGCTGCTCGCGCAGATGCACATGTAGCTCGCTGCAATATACACAATTTTTGTGCAGAAACATTTTTTCGAATTCTCTTTCGAATTATTCGTGAACAGCTACACGCATCGAGGAGAGGCCCGCGCGAAGAGAAATGTAACGGCTGCGCGTAAATGCGATCGCAGAGCCAGCTGCAATGGTATATCGTAGGGAACATTTCGACGACGCGGGGTAAAAATAATCGCTTTCGTTTTAATTAATTTATTTACTTTTGAAAAAAAAATTGGCGTGAACTCGAAACGAGATTCGCGGGGGCAAAAGATACCTCGATATATATGAATTAAAGCGGACGATGCACTTGTTGGGCGTGATATCCTTTTTTTTCCTTCTCCATCCGTCATATGGAGATACATCGTCGTGATCGTGCTCGCGTACGCCCGAGTGCATTGACTTCTGTTTTTACTTCTTTTGGGATCCCCCCTTTTTTTTACTCACGACTCGTCGTTTGAGAAACAAGCCAAAGGCTCAAGGTTGCTTTGCGATATTTTATACTATACTCTTGAACACAATGGGTTTCTACTTTGCGTCGACGATAATAATATTGTTTAGACATACGATCATCGCATTGTAGCGAATAATTGTTAACCTGTTAAGCCTATACATACCGCCGCTTCTTGTGTGTATATTACATTGCAGCGATTTCCTGCGCGAAGCTTCAAATATCACGGCGACGATGCGTTCGTCGGATTTTGTTCTTGGTAATTGCACGTATACGTGTAAGCAGGGTCCGATGTCTTCTCAAAGGAAAAAATTCTATTTTCTCGAAGAAATATATTTTATCAAATTCACCAAAATATAAGTAATTGTTTTATTGCCGTCAATTTTCAAACCGACGTACGAATATCATCTTATTCATCAGTACTCTCTTTTAACGTAAAAGAAGGAAGAAAAAGAAACAACATTCCCCCTTTCAAACGGAGATACTTTATATCTCGTCGTCGAAAAGAAAGCACATACGGCTAGCTTTTGTCGCTGCCTTGCGAGCTTTCAAAGCATACAAAAACATTGCGAGTCGCGTGTGTGTATATAAAGTAACCCCGTGTGCACAATGTTATAACTCAGTTCTTAAGTACGCAAACGTGCCATCGGATCAGAAGTGCATTGCACTCTGAGGCTCTGCGACTTTTTATCTACGCGTGTTCCCTTTTTACCTTTCGCGAATTTATATATAAAGTGCGCCTTAGGTATACGCATATAGTTTTTGCTGCACGTTACTGCGATTAAAACTTTTGTTCGTGCGACGATTGCTCAAAAAGCTCGCGGTCAATTTGCACCAAAATTGTAGATCTAGAACTTCATTGAATGTTTGAAAGAAATGAGCCATTTTTTAGTGGAAAAATTACATTCATGTAAAAAAAATTCGATTAACAACAGTATGCAAACAACATAATTATACGGAAGTAAAGCAAAGAAAAATCGTAAATAGTTCAAATATTTAGTCTGCATTACACGCGCGCACGAATAAAAATACATTCTGCGCTCGAAACGGGGACCTATTTATAAATTTGCGCTCGTTATGACGATTTTAAAGGATGGAGCAAGTATACGCGTGCGGTAATGCACGTGTATGTGTGTCGCAAAAAGCGAGCTTATTTCTCGGTATCGCTCGTCTCTCTCTTCTCTCATCTTCTATGCGTTACAGTTTGCATTTTCGGCTCGCGCTTCAAAAATATCCCTCTTTTCTCTGCCTCGTGCCATGGACAGGCCCGCTATATATACTGCTATACGACTGCGTACACGCACACACATGTACTTGCTTATGCATACGCATAGAGCATTACGCAACGCAGTTTTGTAAAGTCATTGCGCGCGTGGAATAGAAAGATTGAGATGGAGGAAGAAAGAGGAAAAAGAGATAATTACGTAAGCAATCTGCGTTTCTGGAGTACGTTGAATCTGTCGCTTCTTCGACGCGTGGAAGATCGTCCATTGTTCTAGCGTCATTTTTTAAATTTTTTAATCAAATTCTTACCGAGTTTCGTGCAACGATCGATCGGGAATGACATTTATCGCATTGACTCGTCGAAAGCGATTAATTAAAAAAGAAGCTCTATGAGATATTTAGTGCTCCAGACATGTTGCGATCGATACAATATTATCGATTTGTGTCACAGTGATATACTCTCACAGGTCATTATAATGTACTTGTGCCCAGTGCGTCGTTGACTTTTGAATATGTAATGGCTCTTTAACGTGTCCCGTCGTTGACTATTATAATATGAAATTAGGATTTAAAATTTCTCTCTCATTACGGTGTGCGCGTGGGCGAAAAAATTGCCGACGATGCAGAGCTAGCTGTATAAATGTGAGTGCAGCGTGCAGTGCAGCGAGTAGAGTGTGCTGTTGCGTTGCCACTGCTGCTGCTGCTGCTGCTGCTGCTGCTGCCTCTACTGTCGGTCGCGCGCGCGAACGCGGGTGGGTGGGGGAGGGCAACGTGTCAACGGCCTGCTCACTATTCAGCGCAAGTATATATCGAGGGGGCGTCGGCCGCTCGGGGTCGTTGCTCCATGCACAAACACACGCACACACGTTTAAAACGTGCATACGTATATAGCAGTATAGTACGGGAGGCACATTGCACATATATATATAGCGCAGCTACTGCACCACTGCACACACAGACAAACACACGTATATGCGAGGCGCGTTCCACTTTGCGCCGTGCTTTCGCCCGGGAAAAGCTCAGGCTATAGAGCATCGCCACCTTTGCTGATGCTGCCGTTTTCAGCTGCTTGATCTTTTGGATGCGCGCCTATCGCATAAGGCGGTGTGTGCTTTTACTTAATCTCTCTTTTTTGTTGATCGATGCTTTTTTGTATGCAAGCGGTGCTCAAAATTGAGTTTTGTTACGCATAATTTTTGGATTCGTCCATAATCAGATTCGTTCCTTATCCAATCGGATATTCACTAATACACGTATACCATAATTGGCACGAGCTTGCTGCAAAGAAAGATAAGCTCACAGGACGAGGCGTCGAATTGTGCTGATTGTTAAATTATGCAGGTATACAGCAATCATATAATTGCTTCTACTCTCGTAGTATTCGACTGAAAAGCAGGACTCAACTTCATGAGTCAAACAGCAGATCATATACATACGTACATACGTGTCTCGATGTACTTGATACAAAATACTCGAGTCGTCGATCTCGATTAGATAATCACTTGCAAAACGTACATGTATCACATCGATCAAAATTTATAAAAAATACGTGCACCAAGTGTGACCTTTTTGGGGCTCTCGAGCTTGCAATATATATCGCACACGTCTTGGCGATGCAATCGACTACATTATAATACGAGCTCGATATTTGCACACTTGTATATTAACTTGCTAAAACGTCCACTCGATCGCGAACTCTGTTACACGTGTGTTTGATTTTTCTCGAGCTTTCGTGCATGCACATGAACACACGTATTATAGAAATATGTCGCGCGAGCAGATGAAATCGATCTCTCATCTAGTGTGTCTTATAAATCGTATATTATAGGATCGGTCTATTCGCGGGCGTCACGTAGCGCGCCTGTATATAATAATGCATTAAAAGTGTTGCCCACTCGCACTCAGACACGCCAAGAAACGCATACGAGTGTATATCATGCAGCTCTCTCACTCTCTCGAGCTCTATATAGATAGTTGCCAGCATGACCTAATACGGGGCCACTCACCTCGAGCAGCAGCAGCAGCTCGATGCTCGCCGCGCGCGGCTCTCTGACTATATAGTATGGCGCGTGCAAAATGTGTATATGTGTATGCGCGCGGAGCACGAGAGTGCACAGAAGAGAGACGATGCGGCGAGGCGACCCCACGTGCAACTGTCTACACACATACACACGCATATTATAATGTAAACGTGTGTATAGCGAAAGTCTCGGCAGTCGCACTGCTTAGCTGCACATTCTCGTTTCGACTCCTCGGTGTAGTTGGATCGCGTCGAGAGCGCCGCGTGCTATTATAATCGCGGCGCAAAATCTATATTTATGTACCGCGATATGTCGAGTGACGATCGTCTTTCAAATATATACAAGTATTCTGATCGACGTCTAATATAATTCGATCCACGCACGCGCTGGCCGTTCGGTTCTTTGATCTCTAACGCGACACTTATCGATCGCTCGCACTTTCGGTTTAAAATTCAACAGCTAAAAAATCGAACGAGCTCGAATGAAGATCTTATTTCATTATTGAGTACGTAAGTACTTGAAGTAAGGCCACGCTCATGAGCGTCATAGCGACCTGGTGCGCCTCGCGA